ACACACCTCAATCCATTGACTCACAGAAGAAGTTATAGCTACAGTGTCGTAGGGGCTGGAGCATGAGTAGCCAGCTCTAATTCATTTATTTTGTGAAGCTGATGATAATTGATGTTTGCTGTTACAGTGGTGGTGAAGGAGGCGAAAAATGTCGCACAGGAAGTTTGAGCACCCAAGGCACGGGTCCCTCGGTTTCCTCCCGAGGAAGAGGGCTGCTCGCCACCGGGGAAAGGGTAATCATCTGGATTTGTTTCTTACCTTTTTTTATGGTGGTCTATTGGTGTGCTAATATGATCATTTTTATTTTTTAATGTAGAACTGCAATTTAATGGTTCACATGTCCCTTGATCTTGCAATTAAACGTATTCTCTACTGGATTGTTTTTCTATGTTGTTGGTATTTAGTTTCTGAAAACTGAATTTTTTTTAAGTGTTTTTAACTGATGCTTGCTGTTGCAGTCAAGGCTTTCCCAAAGGATGATCCCACCAAGCCCTGCAAGCTGACAGCTTTCTTGGGTTACAAGGCTGGCATGACCCACATTGTGAGAGAAGTTGAAAAACCTGGATCAAGTAAGTTACGTCCCATAAATGTTTCAATAGTTTTGTTGCCTGCCCTATGTGCTCTATAATTATCGATGGTTTACCGAACAATCATTGTATATTTGTTCATTCAGCTGCCAAAGTACCCTTTCACTCTGTTGATCTGGTTGTGTCATTATCTGCCATTTGCTTATTTCCTTTTAGGAAAATTGACCATTTTCCTAAAAACTCTGCCTACAGCTACTTCCTCATTCAATTTGTTCTATCTTTACATTGAGTAAAAATAATTTATTGATACTGTAATGAATCAGGATTTACTAAAAGTCTGTTCTGTAATAAGTTTCAGATGTCTTTAAGTATTTACTGCAGACTTACTTGGCAATTGCTGTAGGCCGTTTGTAAATTTATCATCTCAAATACACTCACCAGGCTTATCAGCTTATGTTGTTTGCATTATGTTTTGCATAATTGTTACCAATTTTTTCACTTGTAGTTGATTGAATAAACAATTTGAAACTAATGATTTCAGAGCTTCACAAGAAGGAAACATGCGAAGCTGTTACTCTAATTGAAACTCCACCGATGGTTATTGTTGGTGTGGTTGGGTATGTGAAGACCCCTCGTGGCCTTCGGTGCCTTAACACGGTCTGGGCTCAACATCTGAGTGAGGAGGTGAAGAGGAGGTTCTACAAGAACTGGTGCAAGTCCAAGAAGAAGGCCTTCACCAAATACTCAAAGAGACTGGAGACTGATGAGGGGAAGAAGGATATCCAGGCACAACTGGAGAAATTGAAGAAATATGCATCTGTTGTTCGTGTATTGGCCCACACTCAGGTTTGTATCTAGCAGTAAATCCATTCTCTTGACTACTTTTTTTTTTTTGTGTTCTGATTATTGATGTTTATGTGCTGACATGTATGTTTCCTTCTCAAGAGTGTCTGGAAGGAAGAATGTTCTTTTTCTTCCTTAAATTAGTCATGATTGCACCTTTGAGGTTTCTTATAATTTTGAGAGAACTAGTTATGTCTACTAATTACAAATATCCATTGAGATTTTTTTACTTATTTGACAAATCGTCATACTCAAATGGATGGGTGATTGTTAAGCAAGTATTATGTATCAAGAGAATATTTGTGATAGCATAGGGATGCATTGTTATTACAGAAGATGGACCCTTTTTTTTATCAATCAAGATGACAAAGGGGTTATTATTTGTAATTTAACTTGTGTTTGATAATAATTAAACCTGATAGTTCTTTGTACATGCAGATAAGGAAGATGAAGGGGCTGAAGCAGAAGAAGGCTCACCTGATGGAGATCCAAGTGAATGGCGGGACTATTGCTCAGAAGGTTGACTTTGCCTATGGGTTCTTTGAGAAGGAGGTACCTATTGATGCTGTATTCCAGAAAGATGAGATGATTGATATCATTGGTGTCACCAAGGGTAAGGGTTACGAGGGTGTTGTTACTCGCTGGGGTGTGACACGCCTTCCTCGCAAGACCCATAGGGGTCTTCGCAAGGTGGCTTGTATTGGTGCTTGGCATCCTGCCAGAGTTTCCTTCACAGTTGCTAGGGCCGGTCAGAATGGGTACCATCACAGAACTGAAATGAACAAGAAGATCTACAGACTTGGCAAAGTTGGGAAAGAGGAACACACTGCCAGTACCGAGTTTGATAGGTAATATTTCAGCACACCTTATTTCAAATTTTTTCTTTTTTTTTTGCTTTTATTTTTTTAATTTTTTGTTTAATATTTCAGCACACCTTATTTCAAATTTTTTCTTTTTTTTTGCTTTTATTTTTTTAATTTTTTGTTTAGATCGCTTATATTCTGTACCCAAAATTTTCTATTTTGGTTTTTTTCCCATTTCTTGGAGAAATGTTATCAGATCGAGCGTACCTATTAAGCATTGAGTCAGCGGTAACTTTATTTTTTTTTTTTTTT